TGTTTCCTCTCCCCCCACGTGTAAGATGAGGGCTGAGACAGACCGTCTCACACATGCTGTGGGGATCTCGTCAAAGCAGGTGGCCTGACTTCCGGCGTTCTAACCAGCCCCCAGGGAGGCTGAAGATGCTCACCCTCAAACCACGCTCGATTCGCCTGGATACACAGGGCTCCAAGAACAGCCCATATCTGAAATGTTTTGTGTTTCATTAACTCATGTGTGTGTCCAGAGTACTATCATTATTCACATTTCTAGGAAAACATTTTAGATGGTTCAAAAGGACCCATATTGTTCAAGGTTTAAGTTAATTAGGGATTGGGATCATTATGAAGGGTTGCAGATCACTCCAAACAAATAAACACACACCTTTTTCTCTAGCCCCGTAGTCGGCAAACCTCAGCTCACGAGCCACATGCGGCTCTTTGGCCCCTTGAGTGTGGCTCTTCCACAAAATACCACGTGCAGGCGCGCACGTACAGTGCGATTGAAACTTCATGGCCCATACGCAGAAGTCGGTATTTTGTGGAAGAGCCACACTCAAGGGGCTAAGGAGCCACATGTGGCTCGCGAGCCGCGGTTTGCCGAGCCGCAGTGTGCCAACCACTGCCCTAGCCCATGAGATCTAGCCCTGGCTACACATTAGTATCACCTGGCATGATTTCAAAAACCACCAATGCCTGCTCACCCACGCACACCAGCCAGAATGCAATTCAAGGTCTGGGAAGGGCCCTGTCACCTGGTATTTAATAAAAGCTTTCCCTGTGACTCTGATGTGCAGCCAAGGTAGGGAACCACAGCGATGACACTCCAGGTACCACCAAGTTGTTTTTCATGCTACCCACAGCTGTTATTCATTAACTCAGGGCACTCTTGTGGAAAGCTTAGTTTGATTATACAACTCACATAAACAGGAACTTGTAATTCAATAAGCGTTCTCAGCAAGGCCGACGATACAGAGAAACCCTAGCTTTGTTTGGTCCCGTGTAGCAAAAATAAAGACAGTTATCAAATTATAATGCACACTGTGCTCTGGGGAGCACACTGGCTTTAAGGGAGACGTGGTCCATTTTCTCCTTTGTAAGGCTCAGGTTCAGTCAGCAAAGTCTTACAAAGTCGGCAGAGGCAGTAAAAGTTCCTGGAGGTTCAAATGTCAATAGAGCAATCCCTCCTTGGGAACGAGTGTCTCCAGAACGGGTTAAGAAGCCAGGCTCGGTTGGGAATCCTGGCTGCACCATTTTCTAGCTATAGAACTGTAGGCAATTTCCTTAACACCTGAGTTTCCTTATTGATAAAATGGGGATTAGGCTTTGAAGATTAAAATGAGTTAATGTGTGTAAAGTGCTTTTTGTAGGATGCGTGGTATAAAGTAATTGTTATTATCATCTACCCCATGCGGTTAGAAGTGGAATATGACTCTTTCCCCCCTTAACATTACACTTTAGCATTGCCTCACTGAAACCATAGCATATGGGTACTTGTTTAGAGAATGATGGCAAGAGGTGTGTGGCTTCTGGCAGGGCTGGGGCAGTCATAAAGCCAGAAAAGTAAACTGAATTTGGTTTGTAGCAGATCTTATAAGCGAGGCCAAAAAGTCTAGATTCATCCTGTTGGCAGTAGAATGCCATTTGAGAATTTTGAGCCAGAGAATGACGTGAAATCCAACCAGTGCAGAGTTCAAGTACCTCCCGTCTTCTCAGGCTGCCCGAGGTTTTCTGACCTACTTCTCCAAGCAATACTGTCACGGGATCTGCACTGCAACTTGTGGTTTCCTGAAGCAAAGAAGGGTTCTCAAACCACTGAGATTTCCATTTCTGCCCCAGGGGGACGACAGTTGAACCAAACTGAATCACCGATGTACATTCTGACAACTACCAGCCAGCTAATTTTATTAGCTGGAGTCATTTTATTTTTTTTCTTAAACCTAAGACAGATATTTGTATCATCAAAGGCACTTTGGAGACCAACATTCCGGTCCCCTAGCAAGTCCAAATCCAAGTAAAAGAGCAAGGTAACCGGGAATAATGCCATGGATCAGCCAGAGGTAGCTGAGGTCCCCCAGATACTACAGGAATTTCATGTCATTGAGAGAAATTGGCAGGTTGCTCTCAAGTAGCTTGTAGGTTTAGCATCAAAGAATTTGTAACTGAGACTTAAGGGTTTGCCAGATATGATGCAGAATTTGAAAATTTTACAGGCTGAGAATTTTGCCCAAATCATCTCCTATATGTTAAAGCCAGAGCATGTAAAATTAGGTAGCCTGACTCCAGGCTCCCACTTAAGAAAAAGACAAAACACTCAAATAAGATAAAATATATTCCTTCCAACTCAGGAGTGGGGGTATCTGGGAAGTGGAGTTGAAGTGACATAAGTTCTAAACCTGGTTCTCCTCCAATTTGGGAGAGTCATGTGGCATTTAAGTCTCTGTTATCCCAAAATAGATGGGAATAAATTCGTAAGCACCAGATGTGCAAAAGTTCAACAAATGTAGTCCTAGCTGGTTTGGCTCAGTGGATAGAGCGTTGGCCTGCAGACTGAAGTGTCCCGGGTTCAATTCCCATCAAGGACACATGCCCAGGTTTGAGGCTTGATCCCCAGTGGGGGTCCTGCAGGAGGCAACTGTTCAATGATTCTCTTTTTTAAAAAATATATATTTTATTGACTTTTTATAGAGAGGAAGGAAGAGGGATAGAGAGTTAGAAACATCGATGAGAGAGAAACATCCATCAGCTGCCTCCTGCACACCCCCTACTGGGGATGTGCCCACAACCAAGGTACATGCCCTTGACCGGAATCAAACCTGGGACCCTTCAGTCCGCAGGCTGATGCTCTATCCACTGAGCCAAACCGGTTAGGGCTCAATGATTCTCTTTTATCACTGATGTTTCCATCTCTCTTTCCCTCTCCCTTCCTCTCTGAAATCAATAAAAATATATTAAAAAAAAAAGTTCAACAAATGCTAACTAGTGCTTAAAATGCTAGCCCCTGTGTTTTATTCTGTAAATCCTCACCATAACCCTATTGATTAGGTTACATCATTTAACCCCACTTATCAGATAAGGATACTGAAGCACAGAGCTTAAGAAACTTGCTCAAAGCCACAAGCTAGCAAGTGGCAGAGCCAGGATTCCAACACAGCATTGAGAGTCTGTGCGGGTGCAATAAAATGCAGTCACTGCCTGAACAAGCTGAGAGCCTAGTGGGGAGAAATAGAGTTCATGCAGGCATGCTTACAACACAGGTGCATCTGCAGGACATCAACAGGACACTAATGTTGAGGGAGAGAAAAGACATTGTTGCTAGGGTTGAAAAGGCTTCTGAGAAGAGTGGTGTTGGAATGGGGCTGAAAAAGTGAGTGCACAGGACTCTACCTGATGGAGAGAGTGAAGACAGTCTAGAGCCATGGTTGGCCAACCATGAATCGCGAGCCACATGTGGCCCTTTGGCCCCTTGAATGTGGCTCTTCCACAAAATACCACGTGCACATACAGTGCGATTGAAACTTCGTGGCCCATGCGCAGAAGTAGGTATTTTGTGGAAGAGCCGGTATTTTGTGGAAGAGCCATACTCAAGGGGCCAAAGAGCCGCATGTGGCCCGCGAGCCACGGTTTGCCGAGCTGCAGTTTGCCGACCACTGCCCCAGAAGGAACACAGGCCTGCTGACACCTTGATATCAGCCTGGTGAAAAAGATCTATTTTGGACTTCTGACCCCCAGATATGGAAGATGATACATTTTTTTAATTGTTTTATTGCTTAAAGTATTACAAAGAGTATAATATGTCTCCTTTTTTTTCCTCCCCTTGACCCTCCCCTAGCCTCCCATGCCTCCCAGTGTCTTGTGTCCATTGGTTATGCTCGTATGCATGCATACAAGTCCTTCAGTTGATCTCTTACCCACCTCCTACCCCCCAACCCTCCTCAGCCTTCCCCCTGTAGTTTGACAGTCTGTTCGATATTGCTCTGCCTCTGTATCTATTTTTGCTCATCAGTTTATAATGGTCTTAATTATCCATAAATGAGTGAGATCATGTGGTATTTTTCTTTCATTGACTGGCTTATTTCACTTAGCATAATGATGATACATTTTTGTTGCTTTAAGACACTAAGCTTATGGTACTTTGTTCCAAAAACAATAGAAAACTATCACACTATTCTAATTTATTTAATAAAAACTCTACATGTTTTATAAATTTTTATTTTAGAGAGGAGGAGACAGAGGCACAGAAAGATTAAGTTGTTTGTCCGAATATTGATTACTTAACATTGTTCTTTCTTGGGGGCTTCCTGGTTTTTCTCCTGCCTGTCTCTCCACCTTTTCCTTGGGCTCCTTGCAAGTTCCTTTACGCCAGTGGTTCTCAACCTTGGCTGCAAATTAGAATCACCTGGGAATCTTTTTAAAATCCTGATTTCTGGGACTCATCCTCCGGAAATTCTGTTTCTTTGTTACGGGGTGGGGCCACAACATTAGTAACAAAGAAACAGAATTTCCGGAGGATGAGGCCCAGGAATCAGGATTTTTAAAAAGATTCCCAGGTGATTCTAATGTGCAGCCAAGGTTGAGAACCACTGCTTTACGCCTATCCAATGTATAAATTGGGAGTTTATCCTAAATACTCTTCTCTTTTTCTTTGAATTCTCTTTCCTAGCTGATCGCACCCATTCCCAGAGTTTCAAATGCTGTTTATAAACTGATTATTCCCCAAGTAATAGATCTAACAGGGACCCCTCCTCTGAGCTCACACCAGTAAGCTTGTCCTGCCAACTTGACTTCTTTGTTTGGATAGCTTATAAACATTTCAAACCTAACACGTTCAAAACAGAATCAATTCCTACAAAACCGCTTCCCCATTCCCATATTCTATTACATTTGTCTCAAGTCAAAAAGATGAATCAGGCTTCATTCCTCTCTTCCACATCGTCCATGTGCATCCCACCACCAATCCATCCATTTTTGTCTACTTTCACTACCACCGACCTGGTCCAAGTCACCACCATTTCTCACCTCAGAAACCATAGTGGCTTCCCAAGGTCCCTCTTGTTCTTCCTTGTTCCTCTTTGGATCTATTTTTCTCACCCATTGAGAGTGTCCTCTGAGCCAGTAGATCAGATCCTGTCACATCCCTGTTTCACACCTTTCAATGGCTTTCCATACCTAGAATAAGATGCAAACCCCTTCCATGTCAATGACTCATGACCCTCCACACAGTCCAGATCCTGCCCACCTCACCAACCTCAGCAACCTCACCTGTGACCACGGCCCCTCATGTCATTTTCCTTTTTAGAACTATACCAGGCTTCTTTCAGTGCCTCAACCCCCAAAATTCTTTCCTGCCTCAATGACTTTATAGCTACAGCTTCCTTTTTGTGAGTTGGGTATACACACACACATTTCACCTATCTGCTACTAATTCTTCAATTTTCAGGTTAAAGATTTCCTCCTTAGAAAGGCCGAAACCAAACCATGTGATCGAAAGCATTTTTACCCTGCCACACAACCCTACCCTAACTTGATTCTTTATCCCAGCCCCTATTTGTTCTGGGATATGTTGGGTGATGGTGTTTTTTAGCACTTATTACAACTTGCAGTTCTTTGTCATTTTGGTTACTTTACTTTTTTTTCTTTCAATTCGTCTTTCTAGAATGTTTGTTCCATAAGGGCAGGGTCTGTGTCTGTCTGTCTTGGTTACCAGTGTAACTCCAGAGCACTAAGCCTGACACATAGTAGGTACTCAATAAATATTTGTTAACTATTGAATAAATGTTATATGTAAAAAGTTAGGAAAGTTTAAAATGATACTAATACACTATATCATTATCTAAGAATGCTATAACTACTTGAATAGTGAATTTGAATTTAAGTCAATAAATGATCAATAGCCAGTTGAATTTACATTTTATAATATTCTGTTATTCTTTTGATTGTAATTATCTATACATTAAACCAACTGTGCATTCAAAGTAAAATTTCATGTTATGACAAATTTGATTTTTTTTTTATTTTTTTTTTTACCTAAGGACCTTTTGTACCAATTAGCCTCTTTTAACCTTTTCTTTACACTTGTGGTAAAAGCCGCACGGTACAGATTCAAAGAAAGGAAATATATATTTAGCAATAGACCAGACCAGCACACATCTTTTTCTCCCTCCCCCCCAAAGTTGGAGGGCTAGATATGGTTTATAGGAAATCCCCAATGAGAAATAAAAATAGGACATAAATAACTCAAACTATGCATAGCAAATGGCTAATGCTTCTCAACTAGCTATCTGGAGATGAGGAACAAGTGATAAATATAGTAGGAAGCAAATGAAATAATAATGTTGATGTATTTTACCTTAAATAAGGCGATGTTTGAATTATTATAGTCAGAAAGGAGCCTACTTCTTTGAAAAATACCTGTAGAATAAGAAACACCTTTGTTCTTCACCCTTCATTCATGCAACATCCACCAAGTCCCCCAAAAGGGAGAAATGGAGATCTGAGATCTGTAAGTTTGAGGGATAATGTTCAAGTCAATCAGTACACTTTTATTTTGAGGCTACGGCATGCTAGGTATTTCTGAAAACAGCAAGATGAACGAATCACAATATCTGATTTTAGATAGGCTACAATCCAGTTGGGAAACAAGGCAAATATGTGAACAAATATGTGAACACATTTACCTGATGTGAATCAACACATCAGGACCAAAGATTCTACAAGGAAGAGCACACTAACTGACCACACATGTGACCTCAGGAGGCAGACACTGATCTACACAGAGAGCTTTGCATTGAGCACGCACAGAGTAAGCGTTCAGTAACATTTGATATTGTTAAGTTTTAAATGAGTGGACATGGAGAAAAGCCTTTGTTGGGAAATAGTATTAACAAATTGGTATTTGTTGTAAGGAATTTATCATAAACTTAACATCATTGGGACAAATCCCACTGTAATTTGTGCCAGAAGTTTATGACTTTGAGGTGGAACGTTCTGAAGTTAGAACACTCTTTTCCTCTTGAGATGCCTTTCTTTTTGTTGTTGTTGTTGATTCTCACCCAAGGATATTTTTTCCATTGATTTTTAGAGAGAGTGGAAGGGAGGGGTAGAGACAGATAGAAACATTGCTGAGAGAGACACATCGATTGGTTGCCTCCCACATACACCCTAACTAGGGCCGGGGATGAAGTCTGCAACCAAGTACATGCCCTTGACTGGAATTGAACCCTCATCCTTTTAGTCCATGGTCCAATGCTCTAACCACTGAACAAACTGGCTAGGGTATGAGATACCAAGAGGTAGAGGGATCTTACTTATGATCACATGGCCTAATATAAAAAATGTAACTATTCAACAAAAACTTATATTAAAGGACACAAACTATCACATATAGTCACCACCCTTTTAAAAGGCACATATATGTGCCTATATGTATATATGTGTATATGTGAAGTGGGCAGGTGACTTTAAGAAAGTTTCGGTATCCACTTCTGAAAAGTAGGCCTGCATGTTTTGTCTAACATGTTCAGGGTTCATTTCCAACCTTTCCAAACCCTCCCTGCTTCACCTGGCTCTTGCAAGGACCACGCTGGTGGTCAGATACTGCCCATTCTTCTTCTTTTTAAAAAATATATTTTTATTGATTTCAGAGAGGAAGGGAGAGGGAGAGAGGGATAGAAACATCAATGATGAGAGAGAATCATTGATCGGCTGCCTCCTGCACGCCCCCTACTGCAGATCAAGCCCACAACTCAGGCATGTGCCCTTGACTGGAATTAAACTTAGGACCCTTCAGCCCATAGGCTGACGCTCTATGCACTGAGCCAAACCAGCTAGGGCTGCCCATTCTTCTTGAGAGGATTTAAAAATCAACGGTCTCTGGGAGTCAACATGGACTAAGAATTCATCATAGTTCATAACAGTGGAAGCTTGATTTGTTTTTTAAAATAGTCATCAGTAATCATGTTTAAAACAATTTGGAAATTAATGGACTACTTTAAATATACTGTGTCTTAATTTTTGCAAATCACTTGACAAAATTTTTGATGATGTTTTTATGGACAGAATGATGAAAGAACATTATCATACTGCTTAGGCAGAGGCACAACCAACTGAACAATACATTGAAAGAATACTGATTACTGGTTCTGAAAAAAAGTTTACTTAACATATACCACCTACCCAGTTCTTGTCCTTGGCCCTGTCAGGGGCAACATTTTCCATAAATAATATGAAAGAAAATTACATATAACTGATTAACACATAAAAACCAGAGATTCAAAATGATTAAAATAAAAATGATTTTAGCGCTGGCTGGTGTTGCTCACTGGTTAGAACATTGCCCCATGCACCAAAGGTTCATGGGTTCGATTCCCAGTCAAGGACACAAACCTGGGTTGCAGGTTTCCTCGCCACACCTGGTTGGGGCACTTGCAGGAGGCAACCAATCAATGTGTCTCTCTCCCCCCCCCCACCCCTCCACCCTGTCTCCCCAATCCTCCCTCCCTTCCACTCTCTGAAAATCAATGGAAAAAATATATATCCTCTCGTGAGGATTAAAAAATTTCACTTTAAATAAATATTAACTGTTAAGTTTTACATTTAGTCTCAGGAGAGGGAATATTAGGCTTTAAATCAATACATATGAGTATATAGTTACTTATAAGTACAAAATTAGTTGGGAAAAAGTGTGGTTGCTTTTTTACTAACTTAGCTTTAGGTATTAATAAGAGTACAATCCCGAGAACTCAGGAACTAATATAACTTACACCATTCAGCACCAATGAGACTACTAGTATATCTTGTGTTATAGTCCAGAGAGAGATGTAGGGGGAAAGCTTCTGTCCTGGAAGAAGACACCAAATAAATGGTGGGGGATCTGGAAAACACAGAGGTCTAAGGAGCTCTAGGGATTTGTAACTTGATGAGGACAAAGGCTGGGGAGAGACAAGAGGCAGTCCTTCCAGGGCCTCGGAGAGCAGAGGCCACAGGCTGGTCTCCTCTACTTCACAGCACAGGCCAGGGCTGCGGGCAAGGGGACAGGTGCAGTGGGCTCCGTCTGGCTCAGGACAAGAAAAAACAACCACAGCAGACTCTCAAAGGGCAAGCCCTCTCTCACAGACTAGCCTTCAACAAAGACTGCAGGCTTCTCGCAGGGATCCTGAAGAAGGGAGGCTTTGTCTGGTAAAGCTGGAAAGGTCCACTCTGAAGTTCCTTCCAATCCTACGTGTATGTAAGTTATTTACAAAGTAAGATAAGAAGTTAAATAATGGAGACACCAGCCCCTTACAATGTACATATTTTCACAAACATGAGGTAAGGCAGGAGCAGGTGCCCATGGGTGTCTTGGTGTCTCATTATTTACCTTTTGTAGCAATTGTTTTGCTTCAGTCACTACTGCAACCGAACTGGAATGTCTGTCTGCTTTTACTCAATCCGTGTCGCAGGGAAGCGCATGAGCTCTGGAGTCACAGGGCCTGTGCTTAACTTTTGGTTCTACCTGTTGTAGGTTTGGGACACGTTTCTTATCCTTCAAGCCTCAGTTTCCAAACTGCAAGCGAGGAATAATAGTAGACCTGCTCATCGGCTGGTTGTGAGGATCAAATGAGACAGTGCACGTAAAGCACTTGGTGTGGTGCCTGCAACACAGCAAGCCCTCGGTGAATGTTACCTGTGGTCATATTGCTGGTAGTAATAAATCATACCCTCCTGTGCCATGGAGCTCCTAGAGTTTTACCTTCACATTTGCTTTATCCTACTGCAGGGTCTGAGTGACTGACTTTGTTTTGCTTCAGGAACAGTAGAATTGGAAAATGTGAAATGAGGCTTCTTAGACAGATGATAAAGGATGACAGGATGGCGCAGTGATGAGAGCAGGAGTCTGGTTCCAGAGCTCCGTCAGACTCGCTCTGGGACTGGAAGATCATTCATGCCTGGCATCAGTAAAATGAGAGCGTTAGACCAAATGTTCTGCTCTTTCCTGGCTAAAATGTTTTGTCCTAAATGGGGCCATGAATGGAAAAGAATAATAAATCATGAGGCTAGAGTGACAGACAAAATGGGAAAACCAAAAGGCCTGAACAGTGACTATTTAAAGCAGTTTACAAAGCAAAGTACCTCCTTTACAAGCTTTGCCGTGTAGTTAATGGTCCTTGTGCACTGTACAAAACAAGGCAATACTAATCATTTCTTCCAACTGTAGATTACTAAAATTTCCCTAAATTTTTAATAAAGGTGTACCTCATCCCACTGAGGGAACGTTAAAGGTGACACCTGCCAAATCGTATAGTCCCTTATTGTAGGCCTGCACACTGTGGAAAGTGGTTACAGCTGGAATAGAAAGTGGCCTGCTATATAGCCCTAGTGTGTTATACCTTTGATTTGCACTGGAATTCTGTGATTGCTTGCAGGATCAAGAACAGGTGGAATTAAAAGAAATCTGTTACCACCAGATAACCACCTGAAGCTTTTCACTTTAAGCCAGAGTCACACACTCTCTGTGAATTAAGGGCAAAGCTTCAATCTCCCCCTTCTCTCCCCCCACCCCACTTTCTTCCCCCAATTTATCTCTGTTCAGGATCCTACTTGCCCGCCGAATCCCCTTCCCCGTCTACAGAAAGGCCAACATGATGGCCTTCTAGCTCAGAGACACTTTAAAACCTCATGGTTACCAGAGCCAGGTAGTAAGGGCCCAACTTATCAGCTATTTCCAGAAGGCCATTTCCATGATAAGGTGTATCTTATATTAATCCCAAACAAACAGTGCTACTAAATGATGAAGAGGATTTTGACATAATATCTGCTGAAAATTCCAGCTAAAAAATAGAATTCTTTTAAGCCCACCACTGTGTTCTGCTACCACAATGGTATCAAAACTTCAACCCACACCAGCACAGGTTTGACTTCCCCTCACACCTGCCGCCACTGCTGTAGAACCTCATGAGCTTCAGTCCAGTTTCTCCTTCCTTCTCAAGTTCCTTCCCAACCACCAAAGAGAATCCACCCAGCCCCTGATCCTGTGTCCACATCTTGGTTTAGTATTTTCACCAATCCTGTAAAAACAAGTTGGGAGTATGATACAAATACACATTTCCCTGCCTTTCATGATTTTAGAGATTGCTGCACTAGTGAAAGGCCACTCAAGAAGATGGACTTTCATCTAGGAAGCAAAGTCAATTATATTTTCTTACCTATTTATAGAACTTACAGAACTGGATAGAATCAAGCTACTAGAAAGAGATATGTTCTGACAAATCCTTATCAGAGAGAAAATATCTTTATAGGCTACAAAAAATATATTGGATACATTTTGGGATATTACCTCTCATCAGTCAAAAATTACACTGAAATGTTTATTTAAAACTAGAGGCCCAATGCATGAAATTCGTGCAGGAGTAGACCTTCCTTCCCTCAGCTGCCGGCACCAGCTTTCCTCCAGCACCTGGACCAGGGTTTCCCTAGGGCTACCAGCACCCAGGACCTGGGCTTTCCTCCAGCTGCCCTCGCAGAGGGAGGCCCCACCCACCCACCACAGCCCACCAGTCAGTGGCCTGGCCCTCCCTCTATGGGGCGATCATGGGGCAATGGCTCGGCCCCTGACCAATCACATCGGACCTGCCTTGGCTGGCCTGGCACTAGTGGGTGTCATAGTGTGGTCCCAGATGGTTGTCTGAATGGTCGTTCTGCTGTTCAGCCGTTTGGTCGATTTGCATATTATACTTTTATTATATAGGACTAGAGGCCCAATACACAAAGATTCATGCAAGAATAGGCCTTCCTTACCCCGGCTGCCAGCACCAGCTTCCCTCCAGCACCCAGGACCCAGGCTGCTTCGCTCCAGCTGCTGCCAGGCACTCAGGACCCAGGCTGCTTTGCTCTGGCCACCACCGCCACCTACCGGACCTGGACTGAGGTGGTCAATGCCACCTCATGGCGACCAGTCGTTTGGTCGTTTTGGTCATGATGCCTCTTGGCCTTTTATTTTTATGATGTCCTGAAGATGCCACACTTTGAGAAATTGGTTCATCCTAACATAACCCTCTAATTTCCAAGCTTTATTTTTAGCAGTGGAATTTTTTAAGCACCATTTACACCATGTTCTAATATATAAAATAAATAAAAGTCAAGGCTCTCTGGTCGAGACTAGGGAAGGGGAGAATAGACCCCCTCAACACTTTAGTTGGCCCATTGTTTTAGAATAATTGATCTACTTTATTCTCAGGAGTGTGAATAATCCCACTTCACTAATAAGGCTAATAGTACATGTATTAGGCAGAATTCTCCAGAGATAGAATCAATGCAGTGTGTGTGTGTGTGTGTGTGTGTGTGTGTGTGTGTGTGTGTGTGTGTGTGATATATACACATACTGGTATGTAGAGGGAGAGATTTCTTTTAAGGAATTGGGGCCCATGTGATCGTGGGGGGCTGGCAAGTCTGAAATTTGCAGGGTAGGCAGCAGGCTGGAAGACCCAGCAGGAGTTGATGCTACAGTCCAGAGTCCAAAGGCAGTCTGGAAGCAGAACTTCCTCCTCTTCCAGGGACCTCAGTCTTTTCTTCGAAAGCCTTCAAATGATTGCATGAGACCCACTCACACTGTGGAGGATAATCTGCTTTTGGCAATGTCTACTGGTTTAAATGTTAATCACGTCTACAAAATGCCTTCACAGCGATATTGAGACCGGTGTTTGACCAAACAGGTGGGCACCATAGGCTAGCCAATATGACAAATAAATTAAACATCACAGTAGCTAAAATACCTTGTGCTGTTTCCTAGCTCCTCAGGTAATAAGAAAGGTTCTAAAGAGCTAGGTGATCAGAGACAAAAAATAAACATCTTGAAGTGCCAATGTGGTCAGAAGATGCTTCTTTGGAATGAATGTAACTAAAGGTAGGGTCAAGCAGGCCTAATTTTGGTGAATTTGGTTTATCTCAAAAACAAATTATAGAGTGTAAATTAGTCACCAAAAGTGCCAAAAACAAAAAAAACCTTTTTCTTAAAAAATGTATTCTTTTGAAGTTGATACACCAGTAGATTGGAGTTTCATGCATAACTGTGCCCTATTTCTCAGCAACGTTCTTGTTACCAAGATTGTTAATAAAGGAAATGAAATTTTTGCCCATTGAAAGCTGAGCTCATACTTCTTCCCAAAAGAAATATTAGCTCTTTAGTCTAAAAGAAAGTCATTCATAGAGAAGTGGCTGAATGATAACTGATTTAGGTTGTATATGCATTTAATCTCTCAACAAGTTTTGGGAGTGTGAGTTGTGATCTCTTGTATTGGACAGCCTGAGTCTCAGAGTGGACCCCAAACTTGACTACATCAACTGTTATGCTGATACCACACTCCTTGATTTGGCCTCAGCTGTTGGATCAGGGCGGCCACTGTGTACACCAACAGCCTATAAAGTAAGTAACCTGGCACAAAAGCTCTACCTCACAGAGGAGATGGTGACCACAGGAACAAATTTAATTCCCCCCTTGAGAACGTTTTGAATCCTAAAAAGAAAGTCAATTAAAAGCAGCCGATAGCCCTAGCTGGTATACCTCAGTGGATAGAGTGTCAGCTTGCAGACTGAAGGGTCCCGGGTTTGATTCTGGTCAAGGGCACATGCCCGGGTTTGGGGCTTGATCCCCAGTAGGGGGCGTGCAGGAGGCAGCCAATCAATGATTCTCATCATTGATGTTTCTATTTCTCTCTCCCTCTCCCTTCCTCTCTGAAATCAATAAAAATATATATATATATTTAAAAAGCAGCCGATAAGGGAAGCAAAGACTAAAAAACGACAGAGACAAGCCAGCAGCTAGGAATACAGAGATGACCAAAGCAGACATGACTTCACAATTTCATAGAGCTGTTTGACTAGAAAACGAGGATTAAAATACAATGTGTTAAATATCACAATAGCAAGACCCAGTGAACACCATGGGTACACAAAGAAGAGCTGCCTAAGGGTGGCTTTCTAGAGACCATACCCAAAGCTGGGGAGCAATAACAGCAGAGCACTGCAGTTGGGCTGCATGAACTTCTGCTATTGAGGACGACACGATGGCTCCATAAGGCTAGAATTGGATCTTGGGGAATATAAACCTCTCACTTCTCAAATTACATTCTGATTGTCATGTAGCTCAGATATGCGTCTCTGTGGCTGTTTTTACATGACTTCCAGTTCTATTCCTGGTTCATGGTTCCCATGAGGCCCTAGACACCTCTTTTCCTTATTCCTTTTCTGTGTGTATTTACAGAAAGACCCCATTACTTAAGACAATCAATGTTATTTGTATCTGAAAACCAAACATGCCACTTTTGGTTAACTAACTGTTATGTAAAGAAGCTTCACACGTTAAGGCCAAAACAACCTAAAAGTCAAAATATGATGTATCTCTAAAATTCAAATTGCTCAAATGCAAGGAAAGACTTACTCCACCTAATTTTTATTACACCCCCCTGAAAGATTTTACTTACACATATTGTGACCAGTATGTAATAGACAAACCAAGGAGAATTTATACTCTCCTCTCTGTCAGGTAGAGGCGGGAAACCATGAGTTAATAATCAAAATGAATAGCCTACAGTGCTGTACCTCAAACCATCTTCAAATGTTAATTAGACAGAACCTAGACACAGAACCTACACAGAACCTAGAGACAGAAGAACTTCGCTGGAGAGAACATGGCAAAAGATCCTGGACAGAAACTGGAGACAGAACCTAGAGACAGAACCTAGTGAGAGAACATGGCAAAAGATCCTGGGCAGAAACTGGCCACAGAACCTAGAGACAGAACCTAGCGAGAGAACATGGCTGAAGAACCTAGAGACAGAACCTGGCTACAGAACCTGGATAGAACATGGCAAGAGAACCTGACTAGAACCTGGTGACAGACCCTAGCTGGAGGACCTAGACAGAACCTGGCTGAAGAACCCGGCTACCGAACCTGGCGACAGAACCTGGCTGGAGATCCTACCCAGAACTTCGCTGGAGATCCTGACCAGATCCTGGCTAGAGATCCTGGCTAGGCTGCTGATCAACTGAACGCTGTCTCCGTGTCATTCCTTCTTCGCCGACTCCGTCCACAACTTTGGGGACCCCTGGACCTGCTGGGGTTGGACCCCAGCATCATTCTACTTGAAATCTCAGCCTCCTCGATTACTTTTGGAATAAGAAGGCTATAAATAAAATCAAATCTCTTCTTTTCCTGGCAAAAAAAAAATGTTAATTAAAATTTTCCATAGATGACTGAATCAAAATGAAAATTATACATATACACATACTCACACTGTATGAAAACCATAATTGGAACCAAATATTTTCAAACCTGTTCCAAACTGGTATTTTATTGGATTCTATCCTTCCCGTTTGGTTTCCTCAGTTGTCAGACTGCTAAAAAATATAAAAGCAATACAACAAAAGAAATGTATTTCCCTTTATAGACTGGCTGAGCCATTAATTATAGTAATTGTACCAACAGTGGTGTTAGTGGCATTATCAACTGTGTAAAATTATTTATGAATAATATATTACAAGAGGTAAAATTGAGTTAAAATGTTGAGCATCCTAATAATTAGAAAGGATGAATTTTCAATTGATTATACATAATGCAACATACCTAATGCAAATATATGCAAATTAGAATTGTATTAACTTGAAAAGGCTGACTTTGAAATATCAATGAAGTTTCACTTTCAGTGCCTCTCCCTCTCCAGAGTACACCAGTGCCTTTCCCTTCACCCTCTTTTTCTCCCAAGACACATACCTTTCCCGTTCTCTCTCCCAAACTCCAAGGGCCCTTCTTCTGCCTCTGTAATGTGTTTCCTTAGTCCATTTCGTCTACAGCTCACTTTCACTATCTCTATGACTTTCTAAGCAAACTTTCTCTCATAATTTGAAAAAATAATAAAGTTTCATTTTCAGCACAAATTTAGAATTTTTATTAATATTGAAGAATTATAATTTGAAGCTGGAGGAGAGGTGAATGAATTTCCAACTGTTTATGCTATTCACACATGTCTTAGCCACTCTTGCTAGTAAACATTTTTGTCAGTCCTAAGGGAGCATTTAGACATGAAATATGCAAGTTTTGAATTTTGCCAAGTCTTTAGGAACACATCACTCTCATAAAATGACACTGGATTGTACTTTCTCTGCTTTAGTCATATGCCTGTACCATGTCAATAAAGTTTCTTTCATTTATTGACTGGCACCTAGGTCTTAAGAGGTAGAAGAGAAAGACAGATGAATTTATGTTTCAGGCAATTAAGTGGTGGTGTTTGATTTTATGTGTCAACTTGACTGGCCTAAGGGATGCCCAGAGAGCTGGTAAAATATTATTTCTGAGGTTGTCTGTGAGGGAAGAGATTAGCATTTGACTTGGAGGGCATCATGTCATCCATTGAGGACCTGAATGGAACAAAAAGGCAGAGGAAGGGTGCTCTCTCTGCATGAGTTGAGACATCTGTCTTCACTTGCCCTCAGACATAGGCGCTCCTGGTTCTTGGGCTTTCAGACTCAGATTGGGACTTAGACCATCAGTCCCCCATTCTCAGACCTTCGAGCTCAGACTGAATCACGTCACCCTCCGTCCTGGTTCTCCAGCCTGCAGACTCCAGATCAAGGGATTTCTCAGCCCCCGTAATCACGTGAATCGATAATAAATCTCCTCCTATATACTTATACATCTCCACATGTTATAATATCCTATTGTTTCTATTTCTCTGGAGAAACCTGACTGGTAGATAAGTGATGTTTGGAAAGTCTAAATTAGAGAGTGAAATGGACACATTTATCTTGTAACTTTTAACAAGTTACAAGATAAAACTAGTAGTTCTCTGTCTTTTGGGGTTATGAAATCCTTAGACAATTTAAAGAACATGAAGAGTCTGACCCCCAGAAAAATGCATACATGCACATATACACTCCATTTGCCAACAAGAAGCCCCCAGTGGATACACAATATTTATGGAATTGAGGTCCACCACTACCCTGACCATGGGCAGTACAGCATTCAATCTGAAGCTTATGATGTACAAGGTCCTGTTTTCAAATTACTATTTTAATTACCATTTCTTCAACACTCTTAAGTGTTCTGGGATTTTTATTTGTATTCTAAAGAATTTTAGACTGTTAAACCAAAGATGAAACAAGATTCCTGATGTTACAAATATTTACAAATATTCCTTTTGGTAACCATGAGAGAGCAGTAATGACAAGCAAAACAAGTTAAAACACAGACACAGAATAAACTACTCATTATGCTAAATTTCATACAATAAAAGCAAAATACAAGCAAGCTAGTTAAGGGTATATTTTTCTCTTAAAATAGTTTCTTAAATATATTGGTACCCAAAACACACATACATAAATACACACATACATACACATGCACATACATAGCCAAGCTCTAAAATTACATGAACATACACTGAACTTCTGTTAATATGTATTTTGACTGTTGTTTAAGACTATGCTTTTCTTTAAAAGATAACAAGATCTGAAAATCCAAAAACATAAAATAAGAATGTGTGGGTGAGTTTTCATTTAGAAAGAATTTTTTTAATTTTTTTTAAAAGGTACAAAATAGTTTCTTTAGAAGCTTCGTCTATTCAACTGCCTGTCATCCATACTTATAAAGGGCATTTACCTCCAAGATTACTCATTCAGAAAATATAAAATGTGAGTTGAAATATATCATCAAAGAAAAATAAACGCCATTTTAAAAAGACACTTGAAAGTGATCAAGCAAAGAACTTGTATGCATATGTGCATAACCCGTGGACACAGACAATAGGGTGATGAAAGTCTGGGTTAGGGGGCCGGGGGGTGGGCTAGAAAGGGTTAATGGGGGGAAAGGAGGACATATGTAATATTTTCAGCAATGAAGATTTAAAAAAATAAATAAAAAGACACTTGAGAGCTATACAAATCATTATTTTCTCTAGTAGATGAAAAGCTAACGACCTTTCTCAGGGGGCCAATAGCAATGGGCAGCCCAGCTCCCAGATTTCCCCTTATATTAGTGGGGATGGAAAGCCTCCAATTTATGAAGTTAAGATTAGAACAAGTGTTAACAAAATAAAGTCAGATACACATTTTTAAAAAATCTGATACCAGACCATTAAGGGAACAAGGGATTACTAGAAATAACTCTCAAATTCTTTCCCACCAATACTTAAATTCTTTTTATAATGCATGTCTGTCAATAATTATGAGAAGGAAAAGGACAATGAAGACATTACTGTCTGGTAGGTAGTGGTTTTTTTCGGTGAGTTTCATTTTTAAAATTTTATGCTCTCAATGTTAGACATGACATCTTATATGTTTATAATAATTGCATTTGAGATGATTTCTAGAATCTTGGAAAAGAACAATCATCTTCACTTTTAAAAGCTCTGTTTTGAAGAAAAATTGCTCTAACGTTTACCTTTTAAACATCAACCCACATCCTTTATCCACCGTCCCAGACCCTGTATTGTCCCTGACTTGTGACCTATGGGAAACACCTATGACTTGCAGTCAGCATCTTTGGTTTGAGTTCTAGCTCTGTTCCTTAAGAGTTCTAGAAAAGTATCCTTAAACAGGAATTTCCAATGGAGTTCATTCTATCAGTGTCATCTGGGCAGCTTTTATAAACTTTTAAAGCAGTGTCTTGGAGGTTGATTAGGGGAGTGAAGCTCATGAATCTATTTTATGAAAAGCTCTCCTAGGTGATGAGAGAGAAGGATGAATTAAGTTTGGGATCTACTCATTGGAATCTCTGAATTACTTTTCTAGCTTGTAAATGTATGGGAATGTATGGGAAAAGGCATTATCAATGGAGAAACCAAATAAATACTAGGTATTATGAGGCAATATTTTTGTGGCGTTTAGAACAGAATCACTTCATTGTCGACCATTTTTGCAGCAACCACCACACATAGAGAATTAGAAATAAGCATTATCAATACTGATGAACTTCTGAAACGTTAGCAGTCTAAAACCTCACGGTAAACCAGAACATAACTTTAAAAACACATAAAGGGGTATTAAAACCAACAGACAAAATGTTTTTACTGCATTTTAAAATAAGAAAACATCTAAAAATAAATTTCACCCTTTCTGACTTCTTGAATTACATTAAGATTTCATTGTGGGAATCTGTTTCTCAAAGATCCGGTCTTCTAGAAAAATAGAGAGATACTGGAGCTCTCTGAAGCCAAACTAAAGAAAGAAAATGGATGTGCAGATATTGGTCTCTGTTTTTCCTATACCCAAGTTGTTTCCTGGAGCTATAATAAATAAAATGCTAAGGGAGGTTTACTAACTCAGGCCCCATTTTGAGTGTCTTACATTGCATGGAATAAAGGGTATTCTAATAGCCTGGAAAAATACTTCAGGAAATGACTTAGCCCCATACAGTTTCTAATTTGTTATAATATCCAGGATAAAATATTCACCTATAACTCTGAGGTCCCCAGAGGGTTTAATCTACTTACGCTAACACAGAGAGGATGGTAGAAAGGAACTATTATTCTAAAATGATTGTAATTATCATGTTGGGAAGGAAGATCATAGGCTTTACCCTCAATTCATCATAGATGTTTAATTTTTTCTCTTTCATCAAAAGAGAAATATTTGAAGTTTTCTTTTTTTAAAATTTTATTCCTGAGAGGGAGTAATCACCTAATAAACTTATAACCTAAATTCATGACCTGTGAGTCACAATTCAAGCTCATTAGTTTGATTAAAACTTTGCAGTATCTGGTTCCTGTTCCTCTGTGGTCCCCTAGACTTCCTTTTTCCAAATACCCTTCATTCCATATGTAACTCTTGCTCTTGACCTGGTGCATGCAGAAACAATGCCATGGGTACCGTCATTACCCATGCTCTTTCTTTCCCTGGAAATTCCTTCAGCAATTTATACTCATAGTTCAAAATTCAGCTCAAGCATCCTCTCCCTAGAAAGTTGTCTGATCCTCAGCGAGATTTAGCTGATCCTCCTCTGGGATTCCCTAGCATCCTAGGGCCTTCAGGTAATGGGTCATACCTGATTTGACTTTATATCCATAACACTTAGCTCAGGGTCTGGCACTTAGCAGGTGCCAGATGTTTGTTTGTTGAAGGAATGAATGTAAATGACTGAATGATGTGATCTAAAGATATGTTTCATGAAACTTCAGAGAATCAATTATGCCATTTGCAAGTATTGTAATTACTGCATATTTTCTAATTTATTATGTAGTCAGACACGAGGGGGAGTCCTCCCTCAGCAGGACATCTGGGGGAGGGCTACTCAGTACTGAATGGTGCTCTGAAGCACTGCCCTCTGGGACATTAGGGGGGTGTTCTTTTCAGCCAAACAAAGGACACTGTAGGTGTAAGTATGTCAATTTTCAATGTTCAGGTTTGAAGAGCAAGCCCGAGTATAAAAAATCAACTACGGCCCTGGTCAGTGTGGCCCAGTTGGTTGGAGCCACGTCCTGTATACCGAAAGGCGGGTTAAATTCCTGTTTAGAGCACATACCCAGGTTTCGGGTTTGATCCCCGGCGGGGGCACTTATGAAAGGCAGCCAGTTGATATTCTCTCTCTCTCTCAAAATCAATGAACATGTCCTCTGGTGAGGACTAAAAAACCTCTCCTTCCTGATCTCAGTGTAAATACTAAATATTGATTTAACACCAGAAAGTGAAGGGGAAATATTCTAATGTTATATATGAAAAGAAAAAGTAAATAAAATAGAAACACATCTACTGACATGGGCATTTCAAATAAGTGAAATATTTACAAGATCAAATGCAAAGTGTTAATAGTGGTTACCATGTGACTGTAGAATTAGAGCTGGAGGGAAGAGAGGCAGCTATTGCATTCTTTGTATATTTCTGTATTCTCTGAATTCTTATAAGAAAGTATGACTGTGCTAATAGGAAAAAATTTCTAATAAATGAACCCACCTCTAAGATGACTTTTATCAAAGGCTTACTATAAATTCTCCCATTTAATCTTCAACACTGTGTGGTGAGCAGTATTTTCAACAAAGAAAAAACTAAAACATAAAGATTGTTAAGTAACTTTACAATATCACACAGCTAATAATTGAAGAATAAGGACTCAAACATTTATCAGTCCAAATCTGTTATAGTAATAAGTTTAGTTAGTATAAGATAGCATAATCAAATTTCATTTCTTTATTAGAGTGAATTTTAAACTTTACTTAGAAGAGGAACTTAATTTGTGTGTGTGTGTGTGTGAGACCCTGATAAGTAACTTGTAACGCCCTGCATGTTAACTCCTGACAAATAACTTGTAACTCCTGATCAACAACTCCCTGCATGTTAACTCTGATAAGTACCTTGTAACCCCCTGCGTGTGCATCCTGATGAGCCCAGAAGGCCACCGGAGCACACTGATATGAGACACTGAAGAAGCCTGTTATAGTAATAAGTTTAGTTAGCATAAGTAGACTCCATTTTTGTATTAGCACAAGTTAGCATAAGTAGACCCCATTTTATTCTTAGACCAAAACTTGTAAACAACTCCAAAATAAGATGTGTGTGTGTGATTGATAAGCTTTGGACATGTACACAACTTTCCCGCCTGAGTGTATCCCTAGATAACAGGGCGGCACCCGTGTATGGCACCCGATAGGAGACACTGAAGACGCCCAGCTTCAAGGATTTAAGGAGAGCAAATCTGCTGCGGTTCAGACGCCTGTCTGCTCTTCCACAGACAAGCCGTTCTCCTCCCCCCTGGAAACTGCCAAACTGCCATTCCTGCTCTGCCTTTGAGCCCAGACTGTTAAGAGGCCTCTCTTCGAGTCAAGAGACCGAGCTCCTTGCTGCGGCGTATTGGACGACCTCCGTGTGTCTCTGTCAGCGAGTGTCTCCGGGTGGCCTGCCAAGGACTGAAACCCATCAGCTCTCTGATAATTAAACCTGTGTGATTTCTTGCATTGTTTGTTCCCTGTGTCTTCTCTCTTCTTAGTTTTTGGTTAAGTTCGGCCATATTAATTAATAGTAAGTACCCTTTGACGTCTGTATTGGTATATCCAAATGAGGCGCTTGGGTCACCTGTGCGTAAATTCCCATATTAATTGGAACAAAATCCAAAGCCCTCTAACCACTGTACAATACTGCCTCTCCCGGATGTTTCTGGATATATAACTATTCTTAATTCCCTTTAGCAAACACGAGAGTTTCTTTGACACTTTCATTAGACTATTTTTAGGAAAACTATCTTCCAATAGCTTCCTCCCCTCCCCAAGTGTATCTTTAGAAACAAGAATAATCCTACCTTACTGTCTCATTTGGGATTTACTTACTGTTCACATTGGTCAAGACCATTTACAGCTGGCTGGTGTATCCTCACAGTCCAGTCCCAGTATCTTTGGGAAGAGATTTAAATGCATTAGTCACTCTACTTACAATAAACCAGACTTTCAGGACATTCATGGCACAAAGGACTGGCTATCTGGTTATGTTGTATCTCAAACAAGGAAATAGGTTTAAATGTGAGGAAAATTAATTCTTCAAAAATAGGCTTCCTAACTATATAAAATATCCTCATGGGAAACAGAAACTCCAGGCTGCATCTGATGTCGGAGGAAGTCAGTGTTTTATTTGATTAAGCAGCTGACGTGAAGTTTTGCCTACTCTAAGTCAGGAGGGCTGTCTGGACTATTTCACAAGACTCCAGATTCTGCATCTGTTTTTTAATAGCTCTTGAGGTCTATATAAGGATGGACTCTGGGTTATCCAAATGGAATCTTGGAAAAGCTTCCATTAATATATCTTATTAATAGAAAAAAATAAGGATTATTTTAAGAGACTATGAAATTACAACCTGCAAACCATAAAGTGTTAGAATATGAATCAGCTCTAAGTGGGAAAGATGTTTGAATTCTCTTACTTAAAAACCCAGTAATAGGTCATTTTAGTATTGTTTGTACATGTGCAAAATGAAATGTTAGGGACAGGAAAGACTTTCTTTGGTATCATCCCTCTAAATCAGCGGTTCTCAACCTGTGGGTCATGACCCCTTTGTGGGTCAAACGACCCTTTCACAGGGTTCGCCTAAGACCATCAGAAAACACGTATATAATTACATATTGTTTTTGTGATTAATCACTATGCTTTAATTATGTTCAATTTGTAACAATGAAATTGGGGGTCACCACAACATGAGGAACTGTATTAAAGGGTCGTGGCATTAGGAAAGTTGAGAACCACTGCTCTAAGTGGATGTGAAGGTGACAGGTTTAATTCCAAGTTTTGCTACTAGTGAGCTGGATGGCTCATGAATTTTTATCTCAAACACAGGCTTGTATATCAGCTCCTTAATGCTACATGTCTAGTTATCATTTGGTGATTTCTAGATTAATTGCACTGTGGTCAGAGGACATGCACTGTATGGTTTTAGTCGTTAAATTATTGAGACCTGCTTTATGGCTCAGCACATGTCACTTCTTATACATGTCCCATGTGTGCTGGAAAAGAACGTGTATTTTGCAGTTTGGTGAAGGGAGTTAGTCATTTACAAATCACATTGTTTAAATCTTCAATTATCTTCCCTTATTTTTTTCCTATTGGCTCTATTAATTACTTAGATACTTAAAAATTGAATATGGTGGAAAACTTATGAACTTCTATTACTTTATGCTGCATATAATTTGAAACTATTAGGTAATTATACATTTACAACTTATAAATTACTGATGAATTAAACATTTGTCATTATGAAGTGATCTTTAATTATGCTCTTTGCCTTAATGTCTATCTGACCAGTTTTCTCTTACTTAGAAATTGAATGATATAACTTTTTTTATCCTTTTACTTTAACCTTTCTGTATATTTAACATGTATCTCTTGTAAAGTGTATATGATTGGCTTTTTTTAATCCTGCCTAACAATCATTTAATTTGAACATTTGGTCCATTTGCACTTACTTACTGGCATTTCAGTTTAAATCTGTCTTATTTATCCCTCCTATTTTATGTTTCCTTTATTTTCCTTTCTTGCCTTCTTTTGGTTATTTTTTATGCTACAATTCCCCCCCCCCCCGCCCCCCTCCACCACTCATAGTGTTAAAGTTTTTGATTCTTTTAGTAGATACCCTCAAAATTACAAAAATGCATACTTATTGCCTTTTATAACCTAAAATCAATAACTTTATTTTTTCCCAGGGATCATAAACTATACTAACTCTATTAACTTCTTCCCCTACTTACATATCATTATTGTATTTGGTCATCTTTTTCTCCTGCACCTTTTAAGATGGTCTTTGATGTTTTGTTGTTTCACTGTGTGTCTAGTATGGATTTCTTTTTATTTAATCTGCTTAGGAATTTATAAACTTCCTGAATTTGTGAACTGGTATCTTTCATAATCCCAGAAAATTTTCAGTAATTATTTCCTCATGTAGCAATTCCTGAATGTGGTGGGAAGGAATGATTTTGAGCAGAACTCAATGTGGTATCAATTAATTGTATTGCCTTCAACCTGGCTGCCTATTGTTTATACCCCAAGGAATAGAGAATAAAGTTCTGGGGGAGAAAAAGCTGAGTTATTCTGAAAGGACAAGTTTAGTAAAAGATTTGCAAAAACAAAAATGATATAGTAAGACAGAGTCAGAAGACTTCATGTACAAGTTTAATAAACATATTTTTAACACAAATGAGAAGACCTCTCCTTGCTCTCACCTTTATTTCAGAACAGTGAGTAGATCAGATGGGCAGATACAACCACAAAAGAGGAAATGGCATGAGAGCCAACATTATAGTATCTGAGATAAACTTCGCTAATGGGAGAACAGGAAGATGTTCTGGGTGCTTTAGAACTTGTCACTGCAGGACGAGGGAACAGAAAGGTAGGAACGTGCAGAGAACTGGAATTCTGACTCAGAAATTGCTATTACTATGTTCTAACCAATCTTGGTTGTAACCTTCAAGACTGATGTGGCCTCAAAGCCAAAAACATCAAACACTCCACGGACAATAAAATTCTGGCAAAAACAGTTCTTTCCTATTGGCCTCCTTCAAGGGGATTCTATCAATTATAGAAGAATTGAATCAAGTCTTTGGAAACGTTAACATTTTATAGCTAAAAATCACATGCACAACTTATAGAAAGACCACCAGTTCATCAACCATATTATGGTCTTCAATCCACTGATGTTGCCACTCTCTCTGTTTAGACCCTTCCTATATCATTTAGAATTTGTCTGGCTTCTATCCCATGGCCCATCATTTAATCTCTCACTAACATAAGCTCTAAGTTACCCTTGACTCCTATTCTCCCACTTGTACCTTTTCATGCTTGCTTGGCAAAGATGAAAGAATCAAGTATCTGCCTCCTCTCTTCCAATAAGGATCCCAATAGCCGAACACAGCTAGAGAAAAATCACATCCACAGCAAAGTAAATGCATGTTAAGTTCATGATTCCACCTCAAATGCCCATCAAACCAACTTTATCTAGTTTCCTACACTCAAACTGACTCTGCTTTCTCTTTTCTCCTCAAACCTCCTACTTCATTGTCCTGTCTCAATTTTAGCTTATAATCTTGTATACTCCACTGACAACACAATAAATTAGGCAGAAATTCTATTTTCCTATCACTATGCAAATCTACCTGTGTCTATACCTTCTCCTTCCCTGTTTACTACTAAGAACGTGGCTCTCCTCCTATGGAAGAGCAATGCCTCCACCTAAATGATGGATCCCAGTCAGAACCCCCTTATGAAGAACTTCCCTCCTTCCATCACCCCCTCATTCTATGTTGAAGTAACTCCTATCCTAAAAAAATTACTCTGGCTTCACATGCCCCTTTTGCTATTGCCCCATTTCTCTGCTTACCTTTGTAGCAAAATTTCTCAGTAGCTCTTCTTCCACTCTTTCCAATTCATATAGAAACCCTCTTCAATCTGGCTTCTCTCCACAACCTCTACACTGAAATTTGTTTTGAGGACACCAATGACCCTTGCTGCCAAGTCACCTTTTTGACATCTTGCTCTCTCCACCTTATCTGAGACAAGTAAATATCCACTCTTAGAGAGACACTCCCATCTCTGGCCTAAAGGCACTAAAGTGATAGCATATTCTCTTGGTTTTCCTCCACCTCTCCGACAGCTGTTTAAAATGCTTTGGTTCCCCAGGATTCCATCTCTTTTCATCCTACATTCCTTCTCTAGGTGATCTCATCCAATCCCACGGATTTAAATACCATTCACATCCAAATTGCTCTCTCTGATTCAAACCAGTCTCCCAGTACCTCATCTCTCTGACCCCTATATGTTGGCATCTCCTAGGTTCAGTAATTGAAATGCTTTTCTCTCCTGCGTTCACTTTTGTGTTCTCACTCAGTCTTGTGGCTACACCCTGGCAACTCCTGAGTTACACCTCCAGATCAAACCTCTCCTCTCAACTCTTGATTTGTATATCCTTTGGACTATTTGACATTGCCACCTGAATGTCTAACAAGCATCTTAAACCTAACAGATAAAAATTAAATTCCTGATTCCCTATTCCACCTCCCAGCCTGGAATATCGTATCTCAATTGATGGTAATTCCATCCTTCCAGTGGCTCAGCCCAAAATTCTTGGGTGTCACCCTTGCCTTGTTGTTTTCTCTCACACCTCCCATTTAATCCATCAGCAAATCTGTCAGCTATACTTTCCAAATATATCCAGAATTCTCCTACCTTCATCATCCGAGACCAAGCCATACTGTCAGCTCTCATTTGAATTATTGCAATCACCTTCTAACTATCCTCCTCCTTCTGTCCTTATTCAGCTCAGCCTATTTTCTGCTCAGCAATAGAAGGATCACTTGGACTGAAAAATCAGGTTACATCACTCTCCTGGACACTTAAAATGGTCTAATGGTTTCCAATCACACTTAGAATGTGAGGTCCTTGCCATGACTAATAAAGCCTTGAGTGAAAAGACCTTTGGCTATATCTCCAACCTCATTTTCTACTATTCTTTCCTCACATTCCAGCCAATGAGTTCCTTAGTGTTCCTTAAAAACATCAGGCTTTTACAGAGGCAGAGCAGCATCTAACAGACTGTCAAACTACAGTGGGAAGGCTGGAGAGGGTTGGGGGGTGGGAGGGGAGGGGTAAGAGATCAACCGAAGGACTTATATGCATGCATATAAGCATAACCAATGGACATAAGACCCTGGGGGGTAGGGGAGGCTGGGGGAATGTCAAGGGGTGGGGGGAGGAGACATACATAATACTCTTTGTAATACTTTAAGCAACAAAACAAAATTTAAAAACAAAACAAAACAAACAAAAAAAACCATTAGGCTTTTCCCCACCTCAGCGCCTTTGCATTTGCTAGTCCCTTTGTCTTGAACAGTGGTTCTCAACCTTCCTAATGCTGCGACCCTTTAATACAGTTCCTCATGTTGTGGTGACCCCCAACCATAAAATTATTTTTGTTGCTACTTCATAACTGTAATTTTGCTACTGTTATGAATCGTAATGTAAATATCTGATATGCAGGATGTATTTTCATTGTTTCAAATTGAACATAATTAAAGCATAGTGATTAATCACAAAAACAATATGTAATTATATTTGTGTTTTCCAATGGTCTTAGGCAACCCCTGTGAAAGGGTCATTTGACCCCCAAAGGGGTCGCGACCTACAGGTTGAGAACCACTGGTCTAAAACATTTTTTTCCTCACAAAGAACTGTAAGTCTTGCTTCCTTGCTTCTTCTTCTTCTTCTTTTTTTGCTCAAATATCTTAACAGTGTGCCTTCCTTACCTATTTCCTATTTTTTAAAATGTCTCCCATACTACTCCCCATTTGCCTTTGACATAGTTTTCTTCATAGTGGTCATCACCCATCTTTGTATTACTTGTTTATTTTCTATCTCACATGCACTAGAATGTGCCATGAAAAAAAGAGGCTATGTTTTATTCACACTGCCAAAGTCAGTTCTACAGATTTTTAAAATACATTTTTGTTACTGATTTCAGAGAGAAAGGGAGAGGGGGAGAGAGATAGAAACATCAATAATGAGAAACATTGATCAGCTGCCTCCTGCATGGCCCACACTGGGGATCAAGCCCACAACCTGGGCATGAGTCCCCACTGGGAATTGAACTGTGACCTCCTGGTTCATAGGTCGACACTCAACAACTGAGCCACGCCAGCTGTAGTACATATTTTTCTATCTCACAATTTCTATGAGTCAGGAGTCCAGGCATGAATTGATGGTGTCCTCTGCTCAGAGTTTCACAAGCTGCATTTTCATCTGGAGGCTTAGTAAGGAAGAATCCACTTCCAAACTCATTCAGATTGTTGGCAGAATTTATCTACTTGAGCTCTCTGACTGAGGCCCCCAGGATTTTTGCAGGCTGCTGACCAGAGTTTACCTGCAGTACTTAGAGGAATCCTACTCGCTCCATTAAGAAGTGAAGAGGATCTCTAGTGCATGCTAGCAAGATGGCTGTATGTATGTATTATATACACATATTTTAATGTAGTTGTGAGAGTGACACTCATTGCCTTTGCCATATTCTATTGGTTGAAAGCAAGTCACAGGTCCCACCTACTTGAGGAGAGGGTATTATATAGGGTATGAATTTATGTTTTGGGAAAACTCAAATAACTTGTCTGTGTTTGTAAAGCCACAATTGCCAGGATAAATGACTTTCCCATATTTCTAAAATGGCAGTGATATATTTTTGACTTTATAGATTTTACTGTAGAAAAGGGGCATTTCTCTGTCTTGTGATTTTTATTTCATCAGACTTTTTTCTTTCCCCTAATTCAGCAGGTTTAATAGTCATTATGACACTTTCAGTGTTGGTGGCGGGAGTGGGGAAGAATTCAGTGGCAGTTAAAAATATCTTTGATGAAGCAGTGAAATTATGTCTTTTTAATGTTAAGTGATGAAATGGAAAGTGTAAACAAAGAACCAATGCAGCATTTCAAAGTATGATGTTATCTTAAGAAAAAGCAATTGTGTGATTGCACTGAGAGCTAAACTAGCCAAGTTTTCGTTTGTTTTTCATAGAACACCATTTTACTGGAAAGAATAAACTATGGTTATTTAGACTTGAGTATTTAGCAGACATTTTCTAAAATATTAAAGAAGTAAGCCTGACAGTATTGAGCCAACCTTGCATCCTTGATATAAACTCCACTTAGCTATGATGTACTCTTTTCCATCTATTATTAGGTTGTACTTGGTAATTTTTGTTGAAGATTTTGTGTGCATGCCTATGAAGAATACTGGTTGTTGTTTTTTGTTTGTTTTTTAAACAACAGAACTTTATTGTTTCATAGTTCTGGGGACTGGAAGTCTGAGATCAAGGTGTTGACAGGGTTGACGGCATTCTGAGGCCTCTCTCCTTATCCGTAGATGGCTGTCTTCTCTCCCTTAGCCTTAGTCTTCACATGGTCTTTCCTCCGTGCATGCATGCCTGTGTCCAAATTTCCTTTTTTTAATTCTTTATTGTTTAAAGTATTACTTATATTACATATGTCTTTTTCCCCCCATTGACCTCTCCCCAACCACCCCCATCCCCTGCACATTTCCTCACCCCGCTACTGTGTCCATTGGTTATGCTTATATGCATGCATACAAATCCTTTGGTTGATCTCTTACCTCCCCTGCCTTCCCTCTGAAGTTTGACAGCCGGTTCAATGCTTTTCTGTCTCTGGATCTATTTTTGACCATCAGTTTGTGTTGTTCATTATATTCCACAAATGAGTGAGATCATGTGATATTTATCTTTCTCCAACTGGCTTATTTTGCTTAGCATAATGCTCTCCATGTCTATCCATGCTATAATGAATGATAGATACTGGTTGTTTTTTCTTTCGTAACAACTTTGTCTGGATTTGGTCTCAGGGTAATACAGGCAAGTACATCTTCCTCTTCTATTGTTTTTGGAAGACCTTGTATAGAATTCATATTATTTTTCCTTAAACACTTGGTAGAATTTGCCAGTAAAACCATCTAAGCCTGGAGCTTTCTTTCTGAAGAAGTTTTTAACTACAAATTCAAGTTCTTCAATAAATATACAGTAATTAATGTTATGTTGTCTACTTGTTCATGAGATCTGGTATTTAGCTCTCTTAAGGAATTTGATTAACTCACCTAAATCAGGGGTTGGCAAACTTTTTCTTAAATTGCTAGATAGTAAACATCTAGGCTTGTGGGCTATATGGTCTCTGCTGCAACTACTGAGCCATATACAATATGTAAACAAATGGGTGAGGCCTTGTTCCAAAAAAAAATTTTATTTACAAAACAGGCAATGGCCCATCTCTAATTTATCAAATTTATTACATTAAGTTGTCCATATTACCTTATCATCCTTTTAATTTCCATCTAAGCCCTGTTTTAGCTGTCACACATCTTGTTATGTTGGGTGTCTATTTGCATTTAATCTCAAAATTTGTCTGATTCTCTTATGACTTCTTCTTTAACCCAAGGTTATTTAGAAGTGTGTTGATTAATTTCCAAAAATTTAGAACATTTCCAGGTATCTATTAGTGACTTCTATTTTATTTCCATTGTAACCATAGAGCAAATGTATGATTTCAATCTCTTCAACTAGTTTAGATTTATTTATGGTCCAGAATACAATCTACCTTGGTGAATCTTCTATGTATACTCAAAAACAAACAAACAAACAAACAAAAAACCCAATGTATTTTCTTCTGTGGTTGAGTGGAATGTTCTACAAATGTCAACAAGGTAAAGTTCAACATTGTTCAGGTCTTTTATATCGTTATAGATTTTGTTTACTTGTTATATCAATTACTAAGGGTGCTGATGTATCCAGCTACTTAATAGATTTATCTAATTCTCCTTGCAGATCAGCTTCTAAAGATCTCCTTGTAAAAGAGGTGGATTGACCTCTTTATCATTATGTAATAGCCCTCTTTATATCTCCTAATAGTCCTTGTTCTGCAGACTATTTTGTCTGATGTTCATACAACTACCACTCCAGCTATCTTTTAATTAGTATTTGCAAATTATCTATCTTCTCATCCTTTTAAAT